GATTCTATGCCAAGATAGAAAAGTGTGTATTCTACACTACTTAAGTTGACTTCTTAGGTTACATCATTTCAAATTATAGACTTGTAATGGATCCTAAGAAAATTCAAATTATTATGGATTGGAAGATTTTAAAAATGGCAAGAAATATCTAATACTTTTTGAACTTTGCCAACTATTATTGGATCTTCATCAAAGACTTCTCTTGAATTGTAGCCCCATTTATACGTTTGACTTGCAAAGACAAACTTGAGTGGAGCAAAGAAGTTGAAGTATCTTTCGAAGCTTTGAAGTCAACCTTTATTTTTGTACCAATCTTGTATCGCGTCAACTTTTCTATGGTATTTTTTATGGAAAAAAATGCATTGGACTTTGCTTTAGATGCTGTATTATGACAAATGAGAACAGATGATAAACTTCACCTAATAGCTTTTCATTCCAAAATTTTTTCAATAGTCAAGATTAACTATGAAATTCAAGACAAAGAACTTCTTGCAATCATGAATTTATTTCAAGAATGGCATCATCATCTAGAAGGCGCTTCGAATCCAGTCACCATGTATATAAACCATAAGAATCTTGAGTACTTCATATCAACATGTCTTTATCAAGATTTGATTTCAAGATTGCAGATCAATCCAAAAAACAACAACGTTTGTGAGACGTCCTTTTAAGACATTCTTATCTTACATCAAAAGAAGGAGATGCATCTTTTGATCAACAAAAAATGATCTTTTTAAAGCTAAAGCATTTTCATCTTTGAATAATGAAATCAACATTGAGTGTTGATTTAATCCTTGTGAAATAAATCCAATCAAGTATATCTTCTAATCTTCTTATTCACAATATCAAGAATCTTTCTTCTAAGTTTTAAAATACTTCTAAGTTTGAGTTCAAAAACAACCTATTCTATTTCGAAGGTTGATTATATGTTCCAAAAAGAGAAGTACAATTATCAGTTCTTCAAGCACATCAGGACTTTCCAATAGTAGGACATTTTGGATACAACAAGACTTTAGAGCTTATATTTAGAGATTTTTGGTGGCCACAAACGTGGAAGGGTGTGAAAGACTTTGTTCAATCATGTGATGTTTGTTCAAGATCAAAAACTGTCAAGGACAAGAATGCCACATACCCTGATCTTTGTTCTCTTCGAAGATGATTGATAGGGCCTCTCAACCATTAGTAGTGTCCCATATTAGGGCGGGAAGACCACCCAGTTATTTGATCATTGTTGAGGCCTTCATAACTTCTTTCGAATAGAACATTTAGAACACCATCAGGAGTTGTTGCTACCTCTAGCAAAATCACCAAACATTGGGAGTCCCTTCCCAAATTGTGATACCAAATGCGTTGTATCTCGCCATCTATTCGAGGAAGAACATGTCGTTCTTGAAGATCTTCATCTCGATTGCATTGTCTTGAAGGTTGTGACAATCGTAATGTCTCATCTGATAGGTCAGCAAATGAAGGCTCTTGAGTCGAATCCGTTGGTTGTTGGTTCTCCATTTCTTGAGTGTCACAACTATAAAGAAGCTACGAACAAGGATTGAAAGTAGAATGTTATCTTGCCTAGATGTTGTTTCTTTTATAAAGAAGGTTTTCATCTTGATTTTGATGGATGTCGTCGATGAAAAGCCTCCATCGCCTTTGCTGCATTTATAAGATTCTTTATTGGCTCCCATGTGCGTTCACTAATACTATATCCGTGCCAATGGACAAGATATTCTAATTTATTTTGATGCCACCTTGAATCTAAGACTTCTTCTACTTCAAACTCTTCATTATTGTCCACTTCTATAGGAGGAGGTGGAGCTTGTCGTCTTCTTGGTATGTTCACTGTCTTATATGATTCAAGAAGAGACACGTCGAATACTAGATGGATTTTCATTAACTCCGGTAGATATAAACGATATGCAATTGAATTGATTTGTGCACAAATAAAAAATGGTCCAAGTCTTTGATAGTCAAACTTGTCACAAAGACGAGTGGTCTTGATATTATGATGAAGTAGCCATACCTTATTACCCAAGAAGAATGATGGTTGTTCCTTTCGATAGACATCCGCATTAATCTTTTGTTGTTCTTGAGCCTCTTTTAATTGCACCGTCATCGTTGCATGTAGCTCTGATAAATGAATCGCCAAATCTTTCGCAGTAGGATTATCAACTTTTGAAAAGTCAAAAGTATCAAGTCATGGATGATAACCATAATTAGCAAAGAAAGGTATTTGTTTTGTAGAAGAATGTACCGTGTTATTGTAAGCAAACTCTGCCAATGGCAAAAGAGTTGTCCAATCATCTTGTTGGTAGTTAATAGTACATCTTAAATATTGCTTTAAAACTTGATTAACATGCTCCGTTTGTCCATCAGTTTGAAGATGGAATGCCAAAGATAGTTTTTTATCCACTTTTAGAATCTTGAAAAGAGTCTGCCAAAATCTTGATATAAATTGAGTTCTCTTATCTAATATAATATCCTTGGATAATCCATGATAGCAATAGATATTGTCAAGAAAGAGCTTAGCTGTTTCTTCACCTGTGATAGATTTTGTACATGGTACAAAATGTGCCATCTTGGTAAAATGATCTACTATCATGAATATAGAGTCATAAGAACCTAAGATTGGAAGATCCGTGATGAAGTCCATAGAAATAGAAGACCATGGTTGTTCTGGAATGGGTAATGGCTGAAGAAGTCCAAAAGGTCAATGACGAGGAGTTTTTGATCTTGATTAAACATCATATGATTATACAAAATCTTTGACTGCCTTCCACATTTGAGGCCACCAAAAATCCCTAAATATCAGCTCCAAAGTCTTATTATATCCAAAATATCTTGCTGCTGGGAAGTCGTGACGAGCTTGAAAAATACGTAAACATGCTTCTCCTTCTGGAACATATAGGCATCCTTCGAAATAGAGTAGGTTGTTCTTGAATTCAAATTTAGAGGGATCATGAGATTTAGAAGAATTATTCCTTATATCATGAACAAGAGGGTCTGAAGACATACTTAACTAGACTTGCTTAAGAAAAGTTAAATCAACAATCAATGTTGATTTTATTGCTCGAAGATAAAATTGCTCCGGCTTCAAGAAAACCATTGTTTGTTGCTCAAAAGCTGTATCTCGTTGTTCTGGTACAAAATAAGAATGTTTAGACAAGGCATCTGACATACCTTCTTATTTTCCTGGCCGATAAGTGATGATGAACTCAAATCTTGATAAAGATATGTTCCAACGAGCTTGACGATGATTTAATATGCGTGCTGACATAAAATACTCGAGGTTCTTGTGATCCATATATACGGTGACTGGACTTGAAGCGCCTTCTAGATAATGACGCCATTCTTGAAAAGAATCCACAATTGCAAGAAGTTCTTTGTCATGGATCTCATAATTGATTTCTGCTGCTGAGAATTTTCTTGAATGAAAGGCTACTAGATGAAGTTTGTCATCTGTTTCCATTTGTGATCAAACTGCACCCAAAGCAAAGTCTGATGCATCTGTTTTCATAAAGAATGCTTTGGAAAAATCAACACGATACAAGATTGGTGCAGAAACAAATGCTGTTAACATATATTAGGAGTCCTATAGAACATCGCCACATAGCTCTTAGTTAGATAGTATATATAGAGGCAAGAGTGAAGCTGTCTTTACTCTTATCAACTCTTTTTTTGCTTCTAGTCTAATTTCAAGAGTTTCAAGTTTTCTTGTCTTTTGGTAATAAGCCATTCTAGTTTCCTTTTAATATATGTACTTCTTTATTTCTATTTTTTTTACTTTTCTTTGACACAGATTTCATTGATTTATGCATCATCTTCCAGTTCATGTCCTTGATAGGAACTCATCCTTAGAAAGAAAAATAATATCACAAATATATATCTATTATAGTAATATTAATAGGTAGAATTATGTAAAAGTAGATTAATTTCATAATACCTTCTAGAAAAGCTTCCTAAAAGCTTCTTAGATGTTATTTTGACTTTACGTATGTTTATAGTTGATTAATAGGTTATAATGTGCCACATGTATTGATAGCTTGCAGAATAAGCTAACTATAAGATATCCATATAGAAAACTTGTCTTACAAGTCAAGATACATATCATGCAAAGTCAACACGTTTTTGGAGGTCTTATAGAGCATTGCTACGTAGATCTTAGATAGATAGTATATATAGAAGTATGAGTGAAGTCTTCTTCACTCTTGTCAACTCCTTTCTTATTTCTAGTCTAATTTCAAGCATCTCTAGTTTCTTTGTCTTTTGGCAATAGCCATTTTAGTTTTTCTTTTAATATATATACTTCTCTATTTCTATTGCTTTAAGAGAGTCTCTCTTGTTTATTTGCTTTCATCAAGTTCTTGTCTTTAATACTATATCTTCAAGTAATAGTTGGATCTTGAGATTAAAATACAAAATTAGATTTTTTCCTTTTAGTCATAAGATGTCTAAAGACATTTTAACTTGGAAAAAATTCTAATAAGGATTTTTTCAATAAGTTCTTTATCTAGCATTTCAATGCAAATATTGACAAGTTGTCCTATTTTATTACTCAATTTCTTCAAATTTATCTGAAGTCTAATTTTTTTTAATTTTTTTTAGATTATAGAATTGAAAATTCAAGATAAGACTTAGAGACCTATTTGAATTATTCATATAAATCCAAGTTAATATCATTTTTGTTCTTGTTAATATGGTGAACAAAAATTCTTATCATACATTATGCATATCTTTGATCCTAAAAAAATCTAAGTTAAACTTTGAGACCTATTTGAATTATTCATATAAATCCAAGCAACACACAAGTGGTGAAGTAAAAATTGTATAGTAGGTTCTAATAAGAAGCTCAAGGCTACAATGCATACATACTAATATATCCAAAGTATTATTATCATCCATCCAAAAGATCAATTGGTTTTCATCCAAAAGAGGAAGAGGATGTTAACACTAGATGAATAGCAAATTCCATTTGTTTGTGAGCTATTAATTCTCCATCTCTATTCAATCTTTTTATACTAATTCAAGAGTCGCATGTTTTTCTGCTGAGCGTTGACATGAATTGGACAAAATGCCGCTCCCGATCATGAAGTATCATAAGTCGCTATTTTTTGTGACATCATATTTCGAAACCGCATCTTCATCCAGGAGCATTAGAAACAGAACAGACTGTTGTTGTTGTTATGGTTCGTTATATTTCACTGGGCTATACCTTCTCATGACGTAGGAAGTCTAACCGCTAAAACTGCTGTGAGTCCCACGCCGCAAAGCCCCGAATTCAAACTCTGTCTTCATCACAGTGCCAACCTCTTGAAAAATTTGTGTCGTGAATTTCAGAATCTGTGACTTCAGATTTGTGTGTGGCGACGCTTTTGCCGAGAGCTTGAAACGGATGAGTAGGTTTAGTTTACTGGCCGTGGAGAACTCGTGAATGAGGCCTGTTTGACATGCATGCGACAGCAATATCGAAAACGGGGTGCAATTACTATGAAAACGTCCATGAGAGGTTCAAAATCCACGGAAGAGGGAGATTTCTGCAAATATTTTACCCCACCCGCGAGTTCTGTAGACAGGCCCTTGTCTCTCTCATATAATTCAGGCGACCGGCCGGATCTGAGTAAGCACATTTCGCTACCTGTGGAATTCCTCACCATTGCATTCAATCGAATTTTGTATATAATTAACAATGCAGGTTGTGAGGGATCGTTGCCTTCGCTGGATTGCTGTCGAACAGGATTGTTTAAACAAGTGTGATAAATGTCAACTTCGGTGATGGATGGTTTATAACGGCGACCGCTTTTGTATGTTGTTTTTGGTTTTCTTAGGTCAGATGTTTTTCATGGTAACTATGCTGAAATTGTTCAGCACGTGTGATGAATTTTCAGCCAGATACAGCGTCAGAAAAGGAAGCACCAGAAATTTCATGCAGAAAAATCGTCAAGCTGTAAGCCGTAACCATGGTGTTACCAATAATCTCAGTTCGTGTGGTAACTATCCCCTGAATACGTTTGGGGGAGGAACGGCGCCACCAAGGACCAAAATTGGCCAGGTTCCCAAGATTGGCGATGCCCTCGGCACCCCCAGCAACAAAGGCTCAAGCTCCTTCATGAGCGCCGGCCACAATGGTGTGAGGGATGCGACACTCAAGAGCGGGTACATGAAGCGAGGTTTTTGACGCTCGAGGTATTTGTCTCTAGAATGTTCAGGATACATTCGAGATTCATATGACATCCGGCAGCGACTTCAAAACACCTCAAGTACTCAAAAAATATGGTTAATTTCAAGAATTTCTTCAATTGTAACAAGCCTGTGTATCACAGTTATTTTAGACGTTGTCCATTGCGTCACAATAATACAAAATCTAACCATCGCAGGAACTTAACACCACTTAATTCTGTCCCTGATGTTCTTGAAGCTAGCCTAGATCCTAACTAATTCAACAATGTACCGTTTCGGTGACAAGTCAAATTGTGAGATCCCTTTTTTTTTTTTTTTTTTTTTCAGGTTGCCGGTCTGTGTCATATGCCTTCGAAGTGGCTATCGTAAATGACAAGATCATAATGGCTCCATCAGTGCGGTTATGGTGCCACGAAGTTCTCGAAAATTATTTTCACTGTTTGACATTTCGATGTCCTTACTCGTTGTGGATTTGGTGAAGTACACCTTGAACCGTCAACCACTGATACAACAGTGGTTCCCTCAAGGTTGTTACAGCCATGACGTATAGGGTGCTGAAAAGTATAGAATTGAAAGCATTTCCCCGTCTGCAACCAATCACCCTAGATTTATATGTCTAGTGCTACTGTTTGGATTCACCGGCTGCATTCCAGATCATGGGACCAAATCTCAGTCAAAGCTGAAGCAGATGAGCGAGAGGAAAGTCATTGGACTTTGTCACCAGCTGCACATGATTTACTAGATGCTGCAATTAATCGCTCGTTTGAGGAAGTTGTCACAGAATCGCAGATCAAGGAGATCATTCACTTCTGGGTGTGATTGTTTCATGAGCTCAAGCAGCGGTTGAATCAGTCACAACCATTGAGAATCTAATTCTAATAAGCAAAATCTTATTGCATTACCTTCGGTCTGTGTAGAGTAGACGTGCCGCCACTGCACAGGCTTAATGGCACAGGTGGTTCAATTTAATGGCACATCGATGGTCTGATAACAATCGTTAAGGTTATGAATATATCCTTGCCTCTCAAAGGCATGGTTAAAGTATCCAGTTAAGAAATAACTACAATGTAAATAGTCCAAACCTAATTTAGGTTCACGGACAGCCCACTACACAGAGAGCCAGGATATATTTGAACCAGGATTTGAGGGTGGAAACAGTGAGTAACAAATTTGTCAACAAATTGTTATGTCTCTGACCTCGTGCCAATATAGTCCAACATTGAATACTCATGAAGAACTTTCATCTGCATCATGTATTTCGTACCAGATTTATGGGTAAAACTGGTACATTCAACTAAAACATGAGAATAAAATTACCGAGATCAGCAAAGCATTTTATATTTTTTCTTCATGTCTACTTAGTACGCTGTTCTCAGGAGTGCCCACGGTGGTGATGATCTGCACAGAAATATAATGTTGAAGAAACATCAGAAATCAAGTGATCCACACGTCTACCCTGCGAGAGAGCGTGACCAGATATTTCACCTAACGTCAGAATATTCTAATAACTAAACAATGCAAAATATGGAGCTTACCGACATGGAGCCTGCTTTTGGATCTATTCGATGTTCGAGGAACACTTCTCGAGAGCCTTCTTAAAACTGGCTTTGATGTCTCGGCGGGACAATGGACATGTTGTTCCTTGGTGCACACTGCCTTGGGGCAGAACCTTTCATGGTCAAACTTTACACACATGTCCAATGCAAGCCAAATCTGGAAGAAGCCAGAACAGATAAATAATTTTTCAAATACGAGGGATAGATCTTTCATTCTTGAATTCAATCAATTTGACATGGAATGGAAATACCACGAAATATTCTATTTCCAGTTACAAAAAGTGATACCTCATTAAGAGTTGTGAATTGCTGCAGTACGAATCCTGGAGCAGCCATGACCAATATCTTAAAATATTTTGGATGCCTTAATCTGCTCAGACTCCTGATGCTAAGTTTGACTGGCAGCCCGTGCTGAAAGCGTACATGCCGACGTGAAGAAAAGAATTTAACTCTTTCAAATACGACTTTCTTTTGTGGTAAGGATTTAGTAATTTATCCTGATCGAATCAATTGAGGCCCAAAAGCAACAAAACGTTAAGCTTATGTACCTCCATCCAATCCAAAGACACCAGATAGAGCATCATGTACATGACCTGCATTCGATCATTAAATCATTCAAATACAACCCTCATTTCAAACTGCACATTGGCATGGCTGAGATTGATCTTATCACTAGAGAGAGCGAGAATATCCACAAAACGATCAGAACACTTACTTCCTGACTTAATGAGCAAAATAGCCGGAAAAGAGGGTGACCATAGAGAGAATTATGGAAATACTTCAAGTGGTGACAGTGGCACCTCCTGCTAAAAACGTCACTGTATATAAAACAACATTTAGGATAATTCAGCGTGGCAGTCCTTGTATGAGCCAAAGACTAGATTTGTTAACAAATCAAAACATGAGAAAGGTTGGCAGGGATAAACTACATTCCAAATCAAATCGAAGACAACAATATCTAGAAGCAGCAAGTTGCAGTTTAAGTTTTAATTATGGTTACGTTCCTTGGTTACCATTATCTAGTTAGGGAAGTAACTCATTGATTTTGGACTCAATAGTTTCTGCATTCAGAACGCAAATGTATCAAGTGTGAATGAAGCGAACCAGTAAATTCTGAACCAATGGCTAACAACATCAAGTTCCAGAAGGAGAAGGAAAATTGTGTAGTCCCTTCTGCAGTTAGATCAAACAGGCAAAGTTAGTTGCTGTTTCAGCATCTTTGCAAAATATGCATTTCGAAAACAGAATGCGCTCGCTACACTCCAACTCAACTCATGCAAGAATTGAATTCTCAAATATGTTAACGTTCCAAATGCGATTCCAAACTCTCGTCATGGTGGCGTATGCTCACCTGTAAAGGTGTGAGAGGACTAGCAAGGTCGCTGTGTTGCTGGCTCTGCTCACACCAATGGAAGCATCGTCCGAAATGGGATAAGATCAATTAAATTTTATTTCCAAAATAAAGATACATTCATTTAACACAGGAGCATGATTCCTGTTGAGAAGTAGAAAAAACTGACATACTGTAAACTTTGCGAAGTCAAGAGAGCGATTCAAGATAGGCACGAGTATGGATACCTCGAAGAAACATGGACTAATACGTCTCCAAAAGTCGAAGCTGAACCCAACCCAATGAACACGCCCACATTTACAATTCAGAAAAGAGATGTTGCCCAACGGTCAAATTAATTAGGTGTCATTCACTCCGAATGAATTTTGTGTCACTTAATGCCATCTTTGTAAATGAGAATCGTGGAAAGAAATTTGGCATCGTTGGTAATTTGATTGCGCATTTGGTCTGAACTTACGGCAGTCCATCAGGCTGGAAATACATCTTCCGAATTCATTTGCCACAAAGCTGTAACCATCCACATCGTGTAGGGGAAGAACCACAGTCAATAAAATGTAGATTCCTTCAAATCTTTCTTAAGTTATGTCCAATGTAATTAATCAATCACCTCAAGGTTCTGATGTTTGGGATTTTACGTACATCACGAATTCCGTTATTGAATAGGCATCAGATTTTGAAACTTGATGAGTGTATAAACAAGTATGTACGAAGATGGTTAGGAGGCGTGCTCCCAGAGTCACAAAAGCTAATCAGTAACGTAGTCTTAAAAATGAAGTCTCATACACATTCCTTTCAGCAGCCATTTGTCACCATTAAAAACAGAATATTCTATTGCGTTCTAAGTCAGAAGAGAGTGTTTGCTTACCTAACCATATAAAGTACCGTGAACAACTTCTTGTTTGTGAAGGCCACTGAATACGCCTTTGCACATGCTGCAATCCTCATATAAGCTGCAGGCTGTAACTTAAATTAGAACAAACCCCTTCCAAGCTTACTTTCATAACTGCTAGCCGTTCGCAGATCAAGATATGCTAAGAATTTACGCACAACTCTGCTAATTACCGTTTCTTCAACTAACAAAGCAAAGGGATTAGGTGTGACGTGCATACTGCAGAGGTTGGGTATCCAAAGGTACACTGGCCAATGCCATCGATGCCTGATGTGACAGTGGACCTCCGGTGCAGCACAAGCCGGTGTGCGCTTCCTTCTTGCCATTTTGTTGGTTGTGCGTAAACGAAGCTAACCCACAGCACTAGACAGCAGATGATAATATTTTCAAGTGCGTCAATACCAAAACGTCGCTGGACGCGCTGGTTGAACGCTGCATGATAATTAATATCGACTAGTGCGCGAATAGATTTTGTAATGACTTACAACAATCGACTGGTATCCAAAGTATTCATTCCATTGAAACCAATCTCATAAGTATCTATGGCTGCATTCTATCGCTTTAGAACGAAGTAAGACTGCTTTGGAATCATCGTAGGCTTCCCATTGCATACTAGAAGCGGTGAAATTGGCACTCTGAGCTCAATCAACAGTAGTTTCGAAAAACTTAAGATACTATTTCACTGCACCGCAAGCCTCGAAAATCTCTTGATAACCTCACCAAGATATCGCTCGACTTCCTTCAAAACCTGTATTAAGTGGTGCTACAATCAAGCCCATGGAATGAACAAAGCTGCAAAATCTGACGAGGAGCTCATTTTTTAATGGATATTTTAAGCACGGCTTCGGCAAGCATCATTCCTATTTCCGTCAATTATAGGTGAGGTTGAAAGCAGTGCATGACTGGTGACGAAAGGCAGCTTCCGCCAACAGAAGTGAGCTCGATTGATCATCAGAACAGGGCTATTGTGACAATTTCCCGCACACATGGTTTTCATATCGGCACAGCAGATCTCTAAACACTCGCAAAGAAGTATCACTGTCGAAATAATGCACCGGCCAGGAGAGCCGGATCTACATTTGCAACGATTCAAGAAATTCCAATTGTGTAACACTCTGCAAACACAGAGGAGGGTGACCAACCGCCGTAATGCTTGCGAGCTCTGGGGCTAACTCTCTCAATCTCTTAATTGAGGTTCCCAGAGGGATACAAACCCCGAAACCTCAAAACTCTCGCTCTCTCGCTCTCTAAGTCTCATAGCTCAGCATACAACAATCACCAGTACTGCACTGAGCTCGATCTCTTGCGCAAGCTCTTCCAAAATCTCATGCAATGGCTCCAAACGATCAATCTCCGCCGATTTCCCTAGGCAGCCAAATCATAGAATCTTCTCGCCTTTTACTTTGTGATTTACTTTACTTTACTTCTCGTCTTTATACTTTGTGTTTTACTTTAATTTTCGTATTCTTTTGCTTTTATATTCCTTTCTCTTTTGAAGAAGCACATGACATGGTGTGTGCTCTTACATATATTGTAAGGAGAATGTAATATGGGATGAAATAATGTAAGAAGAATGTAATTTTCTAAAAAACTGATTATAAAGATACAATAAAAGTTGGAGGTTAGTTGACAAGATTAAAAATTAACTCAATTGTATGAATGAAGATTATTAAAGAAATATATAAGTGTATATATATAAAAGGACTTCAACCATTTGACACCTTTCAAAACATTTACATAATGTTTTCTGTAATGAAATAAAATAAACAAATAAATAACCATAATATTTTTAAGGGAAGATATCACATATACCCCTAAAATATGTTGAAATATCAAGAATACCTCTACATTCTTGACAATAGCAAAAATACCTTTGAATATGAAAGGTATCTCCAATCTGACAAAAACCCCAAATTTCTATCACTTTTTTTTTGTTTTATATGCGGCACAAATCTCATGCCTTTATGACGTGCCTTCAATTTTCTGTTTGTTCAGCACTCGCGGGCAGCTGCGGCTGCACCCCCCTCGTCATCCCCACAACGCTCGAGTCGACTGTGCAGAACAGGATTGCATGACTCCGTGTGCGTGTGCTGTGTGGATGTTCAGTGCACTGGAACTACAACGGTAGGTCGCATGGATTAGTAAACTTGCTGAAATCAGTCTTTTAATACCTCGGTGCTGTGCTCGATACCAATCCTAAGATCTTCTGTTAAAAATCCACTGATTTTAATTTCTTGACTAGCTCATGCAGGAATCATGTATGACTGCACCAAGAAGCTAATCTCAACATTCGTTCAGTTGTAAAATTTGTAAGTCAAAGCATCCTGTGGAATAAATCTAGTCTCAGTATATTGCTGGGTTCATATCAAAGGAGTAGCTTATATTAAACCTGTGGCCATTCGAATGCGTTATAACAAAGTTCATATCACCCGACAAAGCTTTCCCCCGCCGGCATGAACCACCATACACTGTAGAGATCTAAAGCTCTTTTTGTGACTACGAGGTCGGTGTGTGTTCATTGGTGACGCGCGAACCACTGTTATCAAACCAAGGGTATTTTTGCTATTATCAAAACTTTGAGGGACACATTTACTATTATCAAGAATGTAGGGGTATTCTTGTTATTTCAACATATTTGAGGGGTATGTATGATATTTTCCCAAATAACAACAATCCCTTAAGATCATCGGTTGCTATTGTATTCAATCCAATAGCTACCGGCATCCATCTCAACGTTTCACTGCTGCTGAGAACCTGTACGAATGCATACAATGGATCATACTTGGAGCAATGAGATCATGCTACCAGCAATGACTTCAGATCTTAATTTCTCATGAACCCACATTTGTATTTTCTCTTGCGTTTTGGTTTCTAGAGCGTGTTTTGAAAGCAGAGAAGTTTCACTGCGTTTCGGCCTGTTTTGTGATTGCTCCTCGTGGTTGGAATGGAGTGGATTCGACGCTGTGGAGAGGCTGTGAATGGTAGTGGTACTGCTGCCTTGAGTCCTCGTGGCTTCGAGGTTGCAAGGTCACTGGAAATCCACAGCATGGGGCTGTGAAATTCCCGGCCAGGAGCCTCTCACATCACATTCAACTCTGCATTTTCGACGTCAATGAAACCATGTTTGGGTCAGATACCATACCCACATGCTTCGGGCCAAATTGCAAAGGGCGTGAAGTGAGACTCAAAGAAAGAAAAACAGATCATACGAAGACTCGATTTAGTAAAAACCTAATTACTTACATCGACATCTGTTTGTGATGGGAGGTGCAAAGTGGAAAAGATTATGCTGCTCATGCCAAGGTCAGTACGAAGGCAACCGCGGATACTTACTTAAACACGACATAATTGGACACCCCACATACTAAACGAGAGAAATTTTCAGCATCGAAGAAGACAGTAGCTCAGAGTTGCGATAGAAACTTCAAATGCTCACCCAAAATACCCTTCAAAATTTCGAATGAAATGCGCACACATTTGCTACGACAAAATTCTGCGCATTCATCTCTATCTCACTTGTTCAGGAAATAAAAACATTGCTGCCTCGAAACTGATGCAATGGCCTGGCGGCGTTCTGACATGAACCCAAATCTGGCGAGGCCTGAAAGGAAGAGTCCAGAGCAAGGGAGGGGGGATCTGGTGGTTTGTGACCTCTCAAACGACTCCATTACAAGAGGAGCGGACACGGCAACGAGGCTTCGCGGTCATAAGAACTACATCCCAAGGCTGCGGCGTTGAGTCCTCAACGCGGAGCTTGAAGGCCGAGCTGGCCATGACATGGGCTGTTTGGATCAATCCCTCCTCGCGAATGTTTGGATTTATGCATTGATTGCTGGCATAGTGTTCAGCGTTTCTTGGGTTGCTAGGACATTGTCGGGGCGTTGAATTGTACCCCAGTTTCGTGGGGTTTCTTGTGGAATGAAAGCTCTGCCTCTCAGTTGGATGAGGGAGAAGGTGAGAGCAAGTGTGTTTCTTTTTTGGGGAGGACGATCGGTTGGATTTGACGAAGGGATTCGAGGTGCATTGTCGCATGAGATTTCTTTCTCGGCTAGCGTGCGTGACGGTTTTTCCCCACATTTTAATTTTTGTATTCTTGGCTGTCGATGTCGGATTCTTGCTCGTTTCCGAAACACCCGGCATTTTGCAAATTTTCATTAGCGCATGTGGGGAGTGGGCAGAGGAGTGGCGGTGAGTATTGAGTTGAGTAGCGGATGTACATGTTTTTTAAGCTATTTACCTTGTTCAGTTGAGACGAAATTGGAGTTACATTATGAGAGAGCTTTATTTTCTTGGGGCTAATGTCGGTGGTAATTGGGAGCTGGGAGAATTAGGAGCCAACGTAATTCTTGACGTATGTGCTTTGTTTCATTTTATTCTATTTTCAAAGAAATTCTATTCATACTCGCAAGTATAGACTTGGTTTCCGTTCTGTTTTTTGATATTCTTGGACTCCGCCAATTACATTTTCTTCCGGATTGGATGTCGTAGGCATTGATATGACGCCATAGGAGTATAATGTCCAAGGTTGAATACTTTTCGTGTATGTCCTCACACGAATCAGCCCAGCAACTTAGTTTATTGAGCGAGGTTCAAAAAGGATTGAGAATAACCGCACTCGGAGTGACGGACTTCTGCTTTCATACTTGGAGCTCATGAAACGTGCATTGATAGAGATGTTTAACGTTTCATTATTTGCAATGCGGAAAGCACTGATGTTTTAGAGGAACAAGACTGGGACCTCTTCTGCGTTTCTGTATTTCTTGTATCTCTCTGAGACGGGTTATGTCAGGATGCTGACGGGAATCGTTGAAACTAGGGCGGTTAACGTAGACAGCACCGGCAGGAAATGCTTCGTGAGAGTTTTTTCGTTCATAAAAAGTGTTCTTTGACCTTAGTTTGTTTCTTCACGTCTTTCCACCACGATTGTTGGTACCGTGAACCCACGCGTAAATATATGATCCTCATTTGAAGGTCCAGTCTTCAATAGCCCTCGGAGTAGTACCTGAAGGTGGATGGAATGGATCGAGATGTTCACTAGTGTCGCTCAACTGAATCTGGTCTGATACGTCCAAGAAATGTATAAAAAGGGTCTAAGCTCGGTTCTATGATCGTGAACCAGAATAGTGTGAACCAGAATGCAAGTGTTCGTCATCTAATCATGGCGATAGCGGCTGTGTAGTTGCGAACGAGAGTGATTTCTTGGTTAGACATGATATGTTCGAGGGGTGCGAATTGCTTGTTAGGTGCCTTGCTGGTTTTAATGCCAATGTGTAAACTTTGCAGCATTCTCAAAAGTCGAATTGCTGCCTACCAATGCAGCCGCATGAGGGAGCTACTTGAGAGTTTGTAAAGCAAAGCTGAGGAGGTGTTCAGCAGCTTGAAGGCTAAGGTTAACTGGGTGATATGGTAAGGTAATGTAAAAGACTGTTGTCATCTTGGTTGGTTGGAATCCTGACGGCATTTGACGACTTGTCCTTGCTTAGCAATCGTCCTGACAACTTTTGTCAAATTTTATTCAGAGTGAGAAGGTATTTTGGTGCTTGAAATCTCATAATCATGTTGTGGTTTCTGTAAGTTTGTCCTTTGCAATCCTTGTGTGTTGTGATATATAGTTACAGCAAGCAGTTCAAAATGTATGTTGCTCTTTGGTGCTCATGCAGTGGGGTGAAATTGGCAGTAAGACAAGTGTTTCCAGTACTTGACTCCTGGGCCTGGCCTGGAATTTGATGATTCTTGAGCGAAACGAAACAATCGTGCTTTGGCTTCTTGTGTCTCAGATGCTGGAGTGAGCTACGTGCATGATTGCAAGGAGTTAAAATGGCGAGTAGGGGTAATCAGACGTGTGTGCAGCTCCACAACGTGGTCAAGACCGGCTTCGCCCATCATACCAGCTTCCTTCTTGTGAAAGGAGCATGGTATCCACTGCACTTTACCCTGGCGGTCACGGATGGACTGAATGCTTGGAAGATAGATGGTACGGAAGCCTTTGTAATCCAACGTGCAAATGACATGAAAGTCACTGCTGGGCAGTATGTGGACAAGGCACATCTGCATCTAGGTCATGACGATAAGAGCTCGCTGTACTCTTTGCACTGTCTGGGCAGCAATGGTGCACAGCTGTTGTGTACGCCTCGGGATGGTCGAGACCTTAACATGGAGTTCACTATAAATTTACCTATGAAGGCAGTGCCTGTGTTGGACTTGACTTTCGACATGGTGCAGTTCTTGATGCAAGCCTACCAGGACCTTCTGGAAAAATCAGATAGAAAGTCCCGCACATATGAACGGGCAAAGGCTACCATTGAGCAATGTGTAGAAGTTCTTCAGAGCCAGAAAGCCCAATTGCAATGCGAGAAAGCTCAGCTGGAAATTCAGATGCAATCGATTAAAGACTCTGGTATGAATTTTGAAGAGGCTGAGATGGCGATCAATCCTGTCCCTTCCTCGTCCACACTGAAGAGGAAGCTCGATTCTAGCGTCGAAAACAACGTACACAAGAAAAGAGGTTCATGGAAGGGGCGGTCCTCCTGCAACTCAATGCCACCACCAGAGCCGGATGCTTTCGGTGCCGGCATGAGAAACCGCGCATCCCCTAGGGTGAGAGGAAAAACTGCCCCTTTGACGACAGGGAGAGATGGGTCTCCGACTGAGAATGGTCATCGGCCACCTTCGGAAGAATTTAGTGGGCGTGGTAGAGAACGGAAAGCTGGTGAAAAATCTAATGCGAAAGTGCTGACCGCGTTCATCGCTGATGGGAGCTTCGACGCACGTCCGAACTCTACTCCAAATACACTTTTGAAAACGGGCAAGAAACGGGGACGAAAACCTAAAGGCACAGTGCTGCTAGCCCAAGATACTGATGATCGGTTGCCTTCGGCACGCACATGTGGAGGTATTTTTTTTATCATCGACAGCTTTGTGATTGTTTCAATAATAGGAAGCATTTGGAGAGGGTGAAGAAAATTTTAATTTTGGCTTTTTTAATACAAAAAAACTGGATCATGTAATGATCTTGAAGAGGGCAAGCTCATTGATGATGGGCTGTATCTGAGTCTGGATCCTTACTATCTGAAATCTGCAGCCATGCTTGACTTTCTCATGAACGCCTTTTTCTCTTTTGTTTTGAGATTATAGGAGCGCAGAGAGACTCTTCCGTGACAAGAGACATGATATCGGAGCATCGAATTGAGGAGCAAGCAGAACGAGCGATTAAGTTGCTTGAACCATACACAAGACAGCTTACTATACTTGGAGCACGAAGGACTGATAAGTCACTGTCACCGAAAGCAGCTGGTAAAACCCTGGGAAGCAACAGAGGAATCATTCAAGCGAATACGAATGATGATAGAACGTTGCTGCTCAAACAACCTTCTATAGATGTGTCACCGCAGAGCAGCGTAGCCTTACCCTTAGCCTTTTCCAAGGGCAAGATCACTAACACAATACCCTGCCAAACAAAAGAGTTTGATGTTATCAACGCCGACTTTTATGACTTCGACAATGAGCGGTCGAAGTACGTGATGGGCTTGGGTCAGTACTGGGCACTTTACGACAACATGGATGGGATGCCTCGCTTCTATGGACGAATAGTAAATCTGACTCTTGATCCTTTCGAGGCGGAGGTTGAGTCCCTTAAGCCTTACCGTCCTACTCTTTTGTTCTCCGGGCTAGTCAAGTCAGCTGGGCTTTCTGTTGCGTGTGGAGAGTTCAAGAGAGATTCCGTCAACTTCCAAGAGCTTGCGGCTTTCTCCCATAGAATTGAGGTGGAAGCAGATGCGAAGAGGAGAATCTACAGAATTAACCCCAGGAAAGGAGAGGTCTGGGCGTTGTATAAAGAATGGGACAAGTCCCTTTCGAAGCAATTTGTAGATGATGTGCCGAAATTTGGGTACGATCTTGTGGAAGTGTTGAGTGAGTTTTCCAAGGAGAAAGGCGCGAAAGTTGGACCCATCACGAAGGTGCCGGGTTTCAAAACCGTGTTCAGGTCTGGGGGATCAATGTCACCACATTGGGTCCCAGCAAAGGATTTACAATCGCTCTTCTCTCACCAGATTGCCACTCACCGGTTTGACGGAAGCGAGACGAGGGTCGTGCCCCGAGGCTCATTTGGGCTTGATTCAGCCTCCACACCAGAGGAATTCATGTCGTCAACGCCGGTTACAATCACTAACACCCCTGTTCATGCCATGGAGGTGACACAGACCATCTCCGATTCTGGATGACGGGCTGCCATTTCAAGAGGTAGTACATTCAGTTAAATCTCCATGACATTAACCCATTTCCGTTGCCAATCAATCAACCCCGGTTGTCTTTGTCCTCGTCCGCCTTACCCTCGTCTTCAGCAGGCTCAGCAACCTCGAATCACACGCCCATGCCCGTGCACCGCAACCTTTGCATCAGTGATTTTGCAACGTGCTTGCAGGTCAACAGAAGCATTTGTGGGTATCCAAGATATCGATGGACTCGGAGCAGAGCTGCTACGATGTATAAGTCGGCAGCAACTTATTCTTCGAACAGAGCAATCTGCTAAAAATCTTAGAAGAAATTCTTGAAAGCACAGAGCCCTCATGAGCCATATACAACACAACCAACGGCGGCTTAGATCTGAGAGGCTCCCAATAATTTTTGCTACAATTCGGGAAGGATCCAACGAGGTACGATTACCTCGCAACAACATGCGTCATAACCTTAGGACTTCCCTTGTATGCTTCCAGAACAAATGTAATGGACCATAGGAATGGTAAATATCAATGAAATTATTATGCCAAGGTGCCGCCATTGCATCAACATTGTCGTTTTTATTGAAATTTGTAGGGGCTGATGGCATTAGACATTTAGCTTCTTCTTCTTTTGTCTTCTTTTACTTAGTATCTCATGTGTTTTCTGTTTATTTATTTATTTATTTTATTTTTTGTTTTTGTTTTTTTGAATTGTATTATTTTTTGTAGAATTATCTCAGAATTGAAGTGAAATATCAGTATAATGTAAATATTTTATTAAGCATTTTGTTTCACACTTATATTATTACATGCAATATAAACCATGCCCTTTTATTTATATATTTACTTACTTTTAATGTTATCATATCTAAGTACTCCTAAAATTATTTATTTTAATTATTTCTTTGTAGCTTGCTGTAGGTTTCATGTGTTTTACTTGTAGGTTGCATTTCAAAAGTAAGATTTCAGTACATGTTTTTTAACTTTATAACAAACTACAACAGATATCAAGATACATAAAGGTGCCTTGTTATCCTTAATATAATTGTTTTCTATTGTAGTGATTTTTTATATTTCTTGTGTTATTTTTTATAGTTATGTTTAGTTATTTTTTATTTATTTATTTTTTTCAACTATATTCATCAAAAGATAAGAAATTCAAATCAACCATGGCTAATTTTAATAATGTATCATTTTGAAAAGCAGCCATGAAGTTCTGGTTTAAATATTCTATGATTCATTTGAATGCTGAAATAGATCAGAAAAAGAATTGCTTGTCAAATAGAAAAAAATTTAAAAACAATTGTGGTCAAATGCAATGAAAATGATGCTGAATTGGTCCAATGGATAATTCAACACTTAAAATACATGGCTAATTACTTTTTGTAAAAAAAATTGATTGACTACAGAATTACAGTATATCTCATGTAGAAAAAAAATAAAACTTAATTTTCGTCTAGGATAAATTGCATGTAAAGAATACCTAAGATGAGATTTTAGCATGTATTGCATAGTGTTGCAAAAAAAACTGTATAGCTTATCAGCACCTGAGTTACTTACAGCTTGAAATTGACTTAAATACTTTTACTACAGTTTTATGTAGTTTCTTTTTGTGCAAAAAGCAATTATATTTATAAAATACATAGAATTCTTTTGAAGATAATCACAAATAAGCAAATAATTTCACTCTTAAGAGAACTCAATATATGAATGTTCTTCATAATTTTTTATTTTATTTTATTTTTTTAAAGAAATAGGTTACTTATGTTCTGTTTGTTGTGTATATCCGTTTAAGTTATAAAAGCAGATAATAACTTCAACAAGTAATATAAGGCACATGCAAAAAATTCTTCAAGTCACTTTTTTAAATTCTAAAACACTTGAATTTTATAAGTTTGTCATATAATATTACATCAGATGCCAAATCTAGTCAAGTATATGTAATTTAGTTTGGTTTAGTGGTTTTTCATCCATATAGATTTTTTTGTTAGTTGACTTTGTTAGTATCAATTAGGGCTTAAATACTTAGGTGGAGAAATATCTCTTGACTTGACATTCTTGTTGAATCAAGTCTTGTGAGTGATTTTGAGAGAGATGAAACTTGTTGTAAGGATTTGTTTGGCTATGGTGATTTAGCCAATTTAGTAAAGCTATAGGGTTTCTCTACGCTTCATACATGCACTCTTAGATTTCTCCTTTTTGGTGTGACAGGTGGCTTGATTTACTTGTGTGTAGATTTATAATCTTTCACTTGATCAGAATGTCTCCTTCTCTTCAATTTGTAGTATAGCAAATTAAAATGAAGTAGATAAATAATAATAATAATAATAATAATAAATCTTTCTTCTTTATTATTTTCTTAGTGTTATTGTGCTAATTTTGCTACTATATTAGAGTTATCTTTTGTCCCTAGATCCTATAGTGATATCGTACCAAAATACATTGCTATTTTTGTATGATGAGATGATTGGAGCAAAATTGTGACACCAAGCTTGTAATGTGCTAGAGTAGTGTGGTGCTAGGATATAATGCAACAAAGTAGGTACAAAGCCCATTGCAAAGCAAGAGGATTTATTTTGGCATGGAAACTTAATGGTGCAATAAGATTTAAATTATAAATAGTAATGTATATTGAAATTTGATGTATGATATTAAAGAGTAGGATAATAAGTGTGGCATATTTTTAACATTTTTAGTTTATATTTAGTTATTTTTTTTAAATTGGAGCACAAATCTACTATTGTAGATAAAGATTTTAGTGTAAGATGCAAGATAAGAGTGGTGTGACATACTATTGCATGCAAATTTGCAAGAAAATAATATTTTGGGTCCATGGCACCTAAGGTCAGCTGGTAGCGTTCTATTGTAATTTAAGGTGTTAAGCCATAGTTACATGTATTGAAATCATGGAGATACACAATAATAGAACTTTACATATTTACAAACTTACACACTCATAGGACTAGCTCAGTGAAAGATCCAATTAAGTAGTCATAGGGCTTTAAAAAGAAAAAAAGAAAAAAAGTAAAAAAAAATACAAAACATAAAATATTTCTTCAAAATTCTTAAGTATAAAGTGTGGAAGTTCACTCCAAGTGCATATGGAGTCCAAATTTGACCTTTTTAAAGTCAATTTTATATAGAAGAGATTCAAAGAATCTATTGTCATTCTTAATTTTTTGAGTAGAGATCATTTGGAGTATTGAAGAAGCATTTATTAAATGCCAAATGCTTTCTAAGTGAATTTTTGTTTTTTTGTCACTTCTCTACATTTTATTTTATTGCAATTATCACAAGTTTTGTAATTTGTAACCATCAATTACAAATAAGTATTGATTACTTTGATTTACTTTTGATTTTTATTTTTGTGTTGTTAGGGATGATGAAACATAACTGATCTATTTCAAGAGTCTAAGACCTTTCTAATCTACAACAACATAAAATCTCATTACAAAGTAGGACGAAATGGACCAGAATAAAATTAAATAGTTATAAATAGAATAGGACAAAAAAAATAAAAATAAACAAAAAAAAATAGAACAAATTAGGACTTGAACAAGAAGATATAAAACCAAAATTTTCTAAAAAAAAAGATCTGAAGCCATATCTAACCAAATGTCCAAAAAGGCCATGGCCAATGCTATTTATACTTTGTTCTACTACCTTGGACTTTCTAGAATCTTCTTAGATAATGGATCCTACTTAGATAACGATCATAAGCCCTTTCTAGAAGGTTCCATGATGGACTACATCTTGATAACTACCTTAAGTTCTTTTTAGAATGTTCCACAATAGATTCTATATAGTCCACTAACCAAACCTCCAATTCTAGAAACTTACATAACTTCTCAAATATGGTTCCAACTATCTATCTCTATATGTTAATAATATAAATATCTTATCTATACCCCGTTACAATTAATTCTCTTGTACTAATATGGAACATCTTCATTTTGCTCTTAATAATATCTCCAAATTGTCTCTTAGAAATGTATGAGGTTCTATGAAGGTTTTCACGTTGCATTATCGATGGAATAACCTTTTCAAAGAACTTTGTACTAAAGTTATCGACATTTAGTACCATGACAAAGGTAGCAATGTTCCAAAATGCTGTCTACTTCATATTCTTGTTGATCATCAATTATAATTGGTGGTGGTGATGGTTGATGTCGATCCGAAAAGTGCTTTGGCTCAATATAAAATTCCTTCAATTGGAAAACATAGAAGATTGGATGGACTCTAATATGTGATGGAACCTCAAGGTAATATACAACATGAGAAATCAATGCAAAAATATAGAAAGGTCTAAGCCACTGAGGTGCCAATTTAAGAATTTGGGTTGATATAGCAAGTAGCAAGTTGATATTAGAAAGTAACACCTAATGATCCTTTCAAAAGGTCTTATATTTCTAGTAGTTATCTACATATTATTTTTATCAATTTTATGCAATAAAGAAGTAATGATGTGCTTCTTATAAGGCCATTCTAAGCCATTGTGTAAACTCCTCTATTATTGAATTGTTGGTGTCGATAGAACAATAGAGAGTTCCTAGCGTAATCAAATATTGATTGATGTTAAGAAAAAATAGTAAATGATTGATACTTACTTGAATACTATTATTGTAAGCAAACTCTAAGGACATGAAATATTCATCTTAGTCATTATGATGAACTATCACAAATATCCGTAGCATATTTTTTAAGGTCCAATTTGTATGCTTTGTTTGTCTATTTATTTAGAAATAGATGGTTGTAGACATGACAAATTATGTGCCTAGTAGCTTGAACAAGGCTTGTCAAAAACTTCTTGTGAAGTATGGATCTCAATCTAAAATGATGACATAAGATAATCCATAGTAACAAAAGATAGTATTGAAGAAGACCTGTGCAAATGCTAGGACATTAATATCTAAGAACATCACAACCAACTAGAATTACTTCAAGAGTTGATTCACAAAGACATCAACTTTGGTATGATTATGAGGCATCTGCACAAAACACATAATGAAGTTCATAGTCACTTGCTCCTAACATGTCATAGGTAGTAGAATTCGTTGTAATAATCTAAAAGATGTTGGATTGTATACTTTATTATATTAACATGACTTGCAAGAGTGTACAAAAGCTCAAACATCATAATTCAAACATGTCCAAAATCATATCTTTGAGATCCATTCTAAAGTCTTTTCTTATCTGAGATGTCTAGATATTAGAATGTCATGTCTCTTTTGAAGCATACTTGCTTGAAGTATAGCATTGTCAAGTACCTAAATCTGCTTCTTAAAATAGAATAAGCCATTACTAATATTATAATTTTTGATACTGTATATTGCCTACTTTCAGCCTATCACTAACCATCTTAAAATAATTATCTTAATACGTAGTGTAAGCTCTCATTTATGCTCCAAAATTTTATTTTTTATTTTTTTCTTATTTTATGATAATTGAGCATGTTAGATTAGGATTTATATAAATAAAATGTGGTTTTATTAAATTTTTAGGATTGTAACCTTTGATGGTATAAATCCTAATATGATTCCTTGAGTTAGGTTAATTAAGACCAAAATGATAAGGATTAGAAAATTAGAATAGTAATTTGATTAATTTTAATAAT